TATGAGTATATGAATACCAGCGGTTAATTAATATTTGGTAATTAAAGCTTGGGACATTAGGAAACAGAGAGGAAACAGATTGAAAGAGGGAAGATCTTCCTTCCTGTTAAAAAAAGAATAAGAGATAAATAAAATCGCTAATCGTGAAATTTAAACCCTAACCTTCTTAGGTAATTGATGAATATTTTGTTTTCTTAATGATGAGAAGGAATAAGGTTTTTTTTTTTCTCTCTCTCCGTCTCGCTCCTTTCCTTTGCTCTCGTTTTCTCTTCTCACATAATATATGTTCATTTTTTTATGTGAATCTTAATGATCATGGATGTCATTGATTGTTTTTTTTTTTTTTTTTTAATAATTTGTTTCTAGTGTTTTTTGTTGGTTGTTATTGCAAAGTTTATATCATACAAATTATTATTTTTTTTTTATAGGTTTTACTTGGTTGAAAAAATATATAGTTATTTCCTTGATAGCTTTAAGTGATTTGACATCCTTTAAAACTTGCTGTTTTCTTTTTTTACAAAACAGATTGGTATCTGCAGAATGGCAGTGATAAAGGTTTGTCGGTTCACAAGTTGGCAACACTGTATCCTTGTTTTATATCCTTCTTGCTTTTCATTCCTCCCTTCCCTCTCCCTCCTTTGCCCACACCTCCTTTCCCTCACCTTTTCTCATACTTTCCCTTCTTTACCCTCACTGTGTCCCTCCTTCCCCCATTCCCCCCTCCCTCTCATTCACCCCTTTCCTCTCCCTCCCCCTACCCCCATCCTTCTCTCATTCCCTCTCCATCTCCATCTCCCCCCTTTCCCTATTCCTCCCCCCTCCCCCTCCCCCTATTTCTCCCCCCTCCCCCTCCCCCTATTCCTCCCTCTCCCCCTCCCCCTATTCCTCCCCCTCCCCCCCCCCTCTATTCCTCTCCCTCCCCCTCCCCCTATTCCTCTCCCTCCCTTTCCCTCCCCTTCCCCCTATCCCTCTCCCTCCTTTTCCCTCCCCTTCCCCCTATCCCTCTCCCTCCCTTTCCCTCCCCTTCCCCCTATCCCTCTCCCTCCCTTTCCCTCCCCTTCCCCCTCTCCCTCTCCCTCCCTTTCCCTCCCCTTCCCCCTATCCCTCTCTCTCTCTCCTATCCCTCTCCCATCCCTCTCCCTTTCTCTGCACTGCAAATTCCATCTGATTATATTGTGTTATTTAACAAGAATGTAAATGCAGCTTGATTATTATCTAGAATGGAAATAGAAACCTTCACTTCATGTCTCTTTTCTTGATATTTTTATTAGATTTTCCTTCCTTTTTTTTTCTCTCTCTCTTTTCTATTGAATCGATCAATGTGATCAATATCAAAGCGACTGTTTTTCGCTTTTATTCCTTCAGTTAATCCTCTTCTCCCCATACAGGTTACCAGGCAGAGGAAGTAGCACACGAAGGTCTGTTGCTGAGATCTGGACAGTTATTTTTATTTGTTGTCCATATAGCTTTTTTTTTTTCCACATATATTTTAAATAGTTCTTTTGTCATATATATATATATATATATATATATATATATATATATATATATATATATATTATATATATATATATATATATTATATATATATATATATATATATATATATTATATATATATATATATATATATTATATATATATATATATATATTATATATTATATATATATATATATATTATATATTATATATATATATATATATTATATATTATATATATATATATATTATATATATATATATATTATATATATATATATATATTATATATATATATATATATATATATATATATATATTATATATATATATATATATATATATATATATATATATTATATATATATATATATATTATATATATATATATATATTATATATATATATATATATTATATATATATATATATATTATATATATATATATATATATATATATATATATATATATATATATATATATATATATATATACATATACATATATATATATATACATATACATATACATATACATATACATATACATATACATACTCTCACACACACACACACACACACACACACACACACACACACACACACACACACACACACACACACACACACACACACACACACACACACACACACACACACACACACACACACACACACACACACACACACACACACACACACACACACACACACACACACACACACACATATATATACATACACACACACATACATATAATTTTTTTTATATCATATATTGTCTACTATATTTGTATATAAAATTTCTTAGCAGTGAATTGGATTTCAACATGACTTTCTGCTTTCTTTCTCTCCGTTAATCTACTTCTTCCCTGCACAGGTTATCCCCCTGAGGAAATACCACATGAAGGTCTGTCAAGGGGTCTGGCCATTTACTCCCTTTGCTAATTTTATGTTTTATATGTGGTTTTATGTTGCTGTTCTATTCTTGTATTTTTTTTTTTTTTTTATTCTAGACCCTTAAAACTTTTGTATTCTACCCTTGTTATTTTGGTGGTTATTAATACTGTCATTTTTTCTCTTTATACTAAACTTTTCTTTTATTTGTGGTTCGTTTCTACCAAGGTCGTAAATATGGAGAATGGAGAATGTAATTGGTTTCATTTCCTTTTGTTCTTCACTGACATCAGAGTGAGAGTGAAGGTGGGAACATTGCATTCTGAAAGATCAGCAAAATATCTTTGTGAACATTGACTGTGTAGGAGATGGGTGATATATTTATCAAAAATACTTTGCACAGTAAAAGTTTATATTCAGTCCGGCGAGGCAGAAGAGCTAATCTCAATTCCACCTGTTGAATTTGGGTGCTTTACTGCTGCAAGTGCTGCAATCTGGGCATAGGTGTGTGGCTTGTAGGCTGGGTGCACACAAACTCGAATGTGCAGTGTCATGATTTCATTCCTCTCCTTTGCTATGTTATTATCCCTTTTTCTGCTCAAGTGTTTTTTGCTTTTTTGCCATTTATCATTACCTGTCATTTGATGTGTTATATCCAGATGGTAAAAGACTGTTTTCCTTGTTAGGTCCACACCATCTCCATAGGTAATCCATATTAGTAATAATAAGAAGTAATACTTTATTATTTGTGTTCTTTCTTTATTTTTTCATAGCATTTATTTTCTGTAATGCAACCTGCAGTGGTGCAGGTTATAATGAGCATGGAAATAGGGTCTTTCCCGGTGTCGGTGCCCTTCCAGTCATGGCTCATGCATAGTGTATTCCACCTCATTTACCAATGGAAATAAGGCAAAAGCCCCTTCCTTATTGCCCACTGAGTCTAATCAGTCGTGGCAAGTCATTACTGTCACCCAGACCCTGAGCTAAGATTCTCATGACAGCAGGTTTCCATCACCCTGGCTCTCAGTCGAATTTTTCCGTGACGGTATGATCGCATCACGCAACCCTTGTGCCAAGTTTTTTCCACGTTGGTCATGTCACCTGGGTCTAGGGGTTTAATACTGAAAGTTTAAAGATGAATTTTACAAAAGAAACCAGGCAGCTTGAAACTAGACAATGATTATGATCCCATAGTGTTATCAGTTGTATTTTTCTACTGCTGAAAGCCTAGTGTGTTTATGTTGTGTGTTTTTTTTTTGTTTTCTTTTCTTTGAATGCATTTTCCTTTTGTTGGCATTTATTCTTACCCTTTTCCTTTGAATTTATTTCTTTTTTCTTTCTTTTGTGTGTGTTGATTTATTTGTATAAGGTGGAAGTTTATGTGTAAGAACTCTTTTTCAGTTGTCCTTTGATTTTTTTTATTTTGCCTCCGTCTTAGTTTTTTAATACTATATATGGTATTCCTTGATTGTACTTAGTAAGAAATGTTGGTCATTTGTGTTTTATACTCATGAATTTTTTCTTATAGTCCCTTCTGCATTAGTCTTTATTTTTCACTCATGATTTTCTGTCTCTTATAGATTGGCAAGCAGTCAACTATCAACATTCATTAGGTCTGTAAAAGGACTTTATTGATAACACTGAACCTGATTTTCCTCATTCCTCCTCTGATCTTTTGAATATACTACTTTTCCTGTTTATTCTAACCATATTGTCTTTTTTTATTTGATTTTATCCTCTGTCCACACAGCCGATCCTGCAGTTTTGGAAACCATTACTGTGCTGTTGCCATATGCGGTTGAAATACCCTTTTGATGATAGTGTTAATGTTTGGCTTATGACCTACCATTTATTTCACTTGTTCTTTCGTCTCTTTTCCCCCTTTTTTCCCCGAAGGAAACCTATGCTTCATTAACAGATTTTATCCCCATCACCCAGCCTTAAAAAGGAGGAAAAATACTGTTTGCAGCTGTAGAGAGCTAAAGTTCACTGCTGCCACCATGACCTTGATTCCACAAGCATTATCCCAGTTTCCTGTGTTTGATGTGTGGAAATTCTGGTGTTACTGTTACTGGTATTATTAGTTTAGATGTGGACAGTGACAATTTTTAAAGAAATCTTTCTCTGTGTTTCTTGGATGTCTGCTACTTTTTATTAGTATTTATGACGTAACGATGCAGTAGTCAAGTTCTTTTACAGTTGTTTAATTTTGTTTTTTCATCCCATTGTCTTCTCCAACCCCACAGGTGATGGCTCCAACAAGAATATGGAGGACATGATCCGCGAGCTCTCCACAGCCCTCTCTGGTGTCAAACACGAGCAAGACTACATGGAGGTCCGCGAGCGCATTCACCGCTCCATCAACGACAACACAAACTCCCGCGTCGTCCTGTGGTCCGTTTTCGAGGCCCTGGTACTGGTGGCCATGACCATTGGCCAAGTGTACTACCTCAAACAGTTCTTTGAGGTCCGGAGGGTGGTGTAGATCTGTATTTCTTATTTTCTTATCTTCGTTGCATCAAAGGAAGTGTTCTTTGCTTTCTCTCTGTTTTTCGCCGGAAGAAATCAAACTGTTTCAAAGTTGTTGTTTTTTCTTCTGGTGGTGTTATTTATGTATGTGTCACTAGAATGATGTGATTACTTTACACTTCCCTTTTTTTTTTTTTCCTCTTTGTGAGTGGGGTTTGCCTACTTGTAAACTCTTTGTTGTCTTAGTTTTCTTCTTTTCCAATGTTACAAAATCGAGGACAAACAATTGCGTGTTTTTGTAATTTATCAAAAAAACTGTAGTGTGGTATTTGGTAATGTTCCATAAAGCAACAAATTACAGTCTAGTAACTTCAAAATAGTTATTATGAAATCACTTATGTTATTGACCTTAAACATGAGCTAAAAAGAGTGAGAGAAACAAAAATCTTAATGCAGTGTTTCCAAACTGCATTTGCACAGAATGTTTTTATTATTGACTTAAGGGGCAGTCAACTTGTTTTAGATCAAGTTATTAGACAAATTGATAATACAGATATGAGTTTCGTAGGTGTTTTGCCACAATCTTTTTCATTTTTTTCACAAATTTAAGGAGTAGATGTTTATTTTTTGTTTTGTGAGGTTATATTTGCTTCGCTTATGTGTTATTCTCATGCAGTGGCATAGATGTAAATTTTTATGTGACTAATTTTTATGGAAAAAAATAAATAAATATTGTTA